CCAGGTGCGCCCGGCTGCGGGGGGGGCGGCGCAGCCCCGGGGCAGAGAGCTCGGGTTCTCCCCCTTCCCTCCCTCCGAGTCTTCGACGGGAGAGGGAAAACCCTGGCGGGCCGCTGCCGTGCGTGGCCCGGACACGCAACGCCGCTGCACGCGCTTTAATTGACGAACGAGGAAGTCGGGTCCCGTTTCGGCAGGAGCCCACGTGTTCCTTATCTCTGCTTTGGCTCTGGAGAGGGGGAGAGGGAAGGGACGGGGGGAAAGGCGTGTGTTTTCCGGGGGCACCTGCCAAAGCCGGGCCCTGCGGCGCGGGGAGGCGGCGGGGCGCTGCGGCCGCCGGCGGGACCAGCCTCCCCCCAGCCGCCCCCGGTGTCTTGTCGTTGCAGGGGTTTTTCCTCTGTGGTGGCCCTGGGAGCCAGCATCATCTGCAACAAGATCCCGGGTCTCGCCCCCCGGCAGCGGGCGATCTGCCAGAGCAGGCCCGACGCTATTATCGTCATCGGGGAAGGGTCCCAGATGGGCATCAACGAGTGCCAGTTCCAGTTTCGCAACGGGCGCTGGAACTGCTCAGCCCTGGGAGAGAGGACCGTCTTCGGGAAGGAGCTGAAAGTGGGTACGTTGCCTCTCTGCTCGCTACCGACCGGCCCCCCACCCACACGACACCAAAGGGGGGCACACGGGGAGTCTCACGGGGTTGGCGCTGAGAAAGACTGGCTGGCTTGCATAGCTTGTGCCAGCCAGGGCAGGACCGTCACCTTCGGCGAGTTCACCTGGACGCTGTGGCTGCTGTTACCAACGTGACTGGCACCCGTGCTTCCTCCTCGCAGGGTACCTGCCGTGGCCCCTGCCGCGTTCAGGAAAGCACTTCCCCATGCGTTAGCTTCCACCACTGTCCTGCTCCCACAGATCCTTTCTGAAAGGTTTTCCGTTTGTGCGCTCAGGACAGCAGCCTTATTCGTGTACTTAGGGATGTGAAAAAGGTGTTTGGTTCTGGTTACAGGTAGTGGTCAGAGACCGAATGCTGAGTGGGCTTAGAATGACGCTTCTGGGGTGCAGGCACCTGGTGATACTGGCCTGATGTTCGCTCCCCTTAGGACCAAGGTCCAGCAATCGGTCTCATTGTTAGAGATTTCCACCACAGAGAACAGTTAGTTATTCTAGAGCAACTACACCTAGTGCCCTCTCTCTCACCAGAAAGAACGGGTGTGTTCTGGTTTGAGATGTCAGGGCATTTACAAAAACCGTTCCTGTCAACAGGCAGAAGATCCCATTTCCAGTTTCCATTTTTTTTTCAGTTATCGCAACAGTACAAAACACATCAAAATTCTTAACTAAAGCAGCATTTATAATGACAAACACAAATACCTGGGGAAACAGAGCTGAGGTTAACCCTGTGCTGCAAAACACGTTGTAGTGGAGCTTACCTCAGTGTTTGTTGATTCCACAGCACTTAAGATACAAAGACTGAGGAAAAGTGTTTTCCAAATACAGGTATAGCCATTTTTAGAGCCATTATTGAAAGCTAATCACTCGCAGTACAGCAGTCCGCATCCAGAAGTTGAAGTTGGGATCTATGGTTTCCAGCCTTGAGGCCTTTGTGCCTCCTCCCCACCCAAAATGTAGATGCAAAAACTGAAAACCCATCAAACAATGCTTAGCGTGATAGAAAACATGGATATTTAATGAGAATGGGAGAAGTGACTGAGAACAGAAGCTAGAAGAGCCCCAAGCAGTCATACAGCAGCTGTGCCCTGGCTTCTAGCTTGCTGGGAAACCCTCTGGACTGGACTGGCTCCAGGCACCGTTTAGTCATATACGGACAGGATACGTCCCTAGTACCTCATTCCTTGCATTCTCCTGAAACACAGAGATACAGCCTTGCCACTCTGCTTTGGAACTCCCGAGAACGCCTGGCATTAACTGAACATATATTTTATCACATGTGTGCACGCCAACGTGCGTATTTTCCAAAACTTAAGAGATATTTAAGGAAAGAACAGAAAGAGAACAAGACAACTAAATTTGAAAGCCCCGTGTGAGTTACCAATCTTTCAACACCTTTGATAATCAAACAGAGTGAGTCAAGTAGGGAATGTAAAAACCACCCTGCACGACATTGTGAAACATCTGAAAATGGACCATTTATTCAGATTAGCTCATTGTTTCTATTCCTTGAGCTGAGCTGTTCCTGTCAGTGATCCATGCAAGTGTTTGCCACTTATGTCAGTGAAGAGTCCATTTGGATGGCTGACAGGTTTGGGCTCATTTAGTCTAAGAGTAACATTTCCTTAAACAGAAAATGTGAGAAGGATTTCTTCTTCTCCAACAAATCATAAAACTGCAGAGTTATTGTGGTCTATTGTATAAACATGCACTCAGTTCCCCCCCCCCTCCCAAAATTGAATTATTTAGCTAGCGGGTTATATTTAGGTCCTTTTAAAGAAAGTCAATATTAAAGGAAGTAGACTTTGATCTGTCTTTGAGGTGATAACTCTTAATACGTTCTATCTATCCATTACGAGGCTAAGATGGATAGGGCAAATTCATCGCTGGTTTCGGAACACAGTCAAGTGTTGAATGGCATCCAAATTATAAAACTCATTTAAAGAATAACCAAAAACTTAAAATTTAAACAGGTTATACATTTATATTTGAAAATGAATTTGGATAAAAATTATGCAGGTTTGAAAACTGCAATGTTGAATTTTACTTGCACACAAGACATGCACGGTGTCTCAAGGATAAAAATACTTAGGCTCTCAAACACCATGAAATATTATAACGTAACCACTCCTGCTCAGGTTGTCTCCTCGTTCTTCTGCTTATTCCCTATCAGCAAGTAGAGAAACCTAGAATATCTGACACAGCTCATCTTTCTACAGCTGTAAGGAAAAAGCATCTGTTCCCTACATTTCTCTCTCTTTCCCTAATATCTCTGTATTGGGGTGTGCTCTAGGTTACCGTTCAGAGAAATAAAGGCTAATATTTCGCTCTGGTTAAAAAGGATAAAACCTTTGTGCCATAAAGCCCTAAGTCAAATTTGGTGCCCACAGACAGGAGATCAGGCCTGTGTGCCTTACGCTAAACAGGAGAGAGAGATGTGTGACACGAAGGACCGTATACCCTATAGGACGTATTTTAAGGTCACTGTGCACAAGAACGATCCAGGTTAACATTAGGGCAAAGATACTGCACCCTTGTAGCTTTTTTAATTAGCAGCAACAGCTCTAGATTCTCAGTTCTTTGGCATGGGGTGTATTACAAAATACTATTCCAACAGCGACTAGTACATTAGTACCTTTTATAGTATTCAAAGGCTGATTATATTTCTCGGCCAATTGCATCCTTAAAGTTATTACCTCAGAGGTACACGGGGCACCTTTGTCTTGCTGCTTGCAATAAAGTCAGTGGGCCACACATGACCTCATTCCGCGTTCCCGATTAGAGGCTTCGCTCTGCCTCTGGAGTGGCACTGATGTACTCGCTCTATGATTAGGATATGACTTCAGAATGACAGTAATGTGGCTCGCCTTGCCACTGCACTGCCGAACGCGTGCAGCGAGTGAAGTCTAATATCAATTTGGGAGGATGTGCTTAAGTAACTCTTATGCTAATAGGATTTGCGTGTGTTAGTCCATACAAATAAGTTCCCTTGGATACCACAGATTCTTGTGAACTATTTCCCAACCCATGGTTTTGATGGCACACCGAACTAAATCTCTTCAAAACCAGGTTTCATTACTTTCACCTTTACTGGGTAATCTGTTTTATGAATGTTATGCAAATGTACCCAGATTATTTAAATTCTCTTGTTGACACTGCAGGGTAGTGCAGGAGGCCTAAGTTCTCCTCGTGGCTGTGCTGTTGTGTGGCTGAGGGACCGTGGCACTCTCCTCTGTGCTTCTCCTTTCCTATTTTTAAAATGGCAACAGGGATACTGGCCTTGGTGAAACACTTTGAAGTCAGTAGAAGGAAAGCATCAAACAAAATTTTCCTGTTCTGATCTGTAGCATGTGTGTACCTGTATTTTAACAAACTCACATATAATCCGTCTTCTAGTGATAATTTAGCTGTAGAGTTATAGTAAGCAACCATTTAAATTCATCCATGCTTCATACGGTGTATTTGTGATCACAGGCTTGAGCTTCCAGCTTGTTATAGCATGCTCCCAGCCAGTGCACAGCATATACTCGCTGTTTCTTGTGTCATTTTACCTAGTTTGTCCTTCAAAAGTGAGATTCTTCCCTACTGACATACTGTGGATATCTTTCCATGAGAGCTGGTGACAGTAGTGCCAATAACATGAAGTGAAATAACAGAGTAAAAGTGACATCAGTTTACTCCAGCTGAGGACTTAGTCCATTTAAGACAGGAAACGATAAAGTCGCAATCAAGATCAACACAAGGATTTTTTTTCTAGACAATTCTGTAGACACTTTATTAATAATGTAAAGTCACAAAGAGAATTTTTAAAATAACCGTGGAGATGACGCAATGCTGCAATTATGGACACTTTTAAAAACAAACATACTTGTTTACAGTGGTCAGCAGTTCTGTTCCTGAAGACAGCCACAATCAAAACCAAGGTTTTAAAGCAGGATAGGCCAAAAAATTCCTGCCTACCTCTCTTCAGGTGAAATGTGTCTCAGGCCTAAACATCTGAGCAACCAGACATGCCTTTGATAGACTCTGAAAATCATACTTGGGCTCTGATGGATCACAGAAAGAGCAAGTGCTATGGCGAAGGCTTTTCAACAGGTGCCTTAGTAGCCCATTTTGCAGTGTGCAGCCTGGTGAACAGGTAGTCAACAGTGACTTTGCTGTTTGTGATAATCACAAGCCAAGGAGTAACTAGCTCAAATAACTGCCGTAGGACATGCATACATTTCATGGTATCTGGAGGACAGCGCCATATTGGCATCGTAGGGCGAAAGCAAAAAACTATGTCCTTTTGTCATAACTGAGCAGCATTGCCACTATTCAATGGGACTTGCCAAGTAAAGATAATACCAGCTGTTTGACTGCATCTCTACAAAGTGACACAGCAAAATGGAAAACTCATTTCAGTGCAGATCTATGAAAAGAAAGGCACTACAGCCTTGTAGAAGCTGTCATGGACCCTGCATGGGAGAGGATAGAGGGAATCAGCTGAGGGCTATGAAGACATGTAGTGGGTCTCCGAAGAGCATTACAGCAAAACTGGTTTCAACCAAGTTTTCATCCTGGTCTTTCTAAAATGCATCAATTCTTTGGTTTCTTTTACACTGAAAAATGTTTCAGTATAATCACACCGATACCTTTATCCATCTGACATTACTTATGTGAATAAGGAAAGCTGAAATCAAAACAAGAATCCACATGGACAAACCGGTCTTAAAACTTTTAAGCGTAGCGGGCCAGCTCAGTACCTACGTACATTGTGCACAATGCCTTTGACTCAGGGATCATTACAGACGTACCTAGATGTACACATTAAAACAGGAGAGGCTGTTAGCTTTCCTTTATACAGTACACTGTTAGCTCTACACTGCCCATTGGACTGAATTTAGCAGTAATTTAGTTTCCATATATTAAAACACACTTTTCTTCTACGGCTTCAACAATGTAAAGGAA